ATCACAGGAGCCTGCCCTGTAGAGTCATGTGGGCTCCTGGGGGACTTGGTGCAAAAAGGAAGTAAACTTTTATTGTGTCAAGCTACTGAGTTTTGGAGTAGTTTTTTACTGCAACATACCCTAAGCCTATGCTGAGTGTGTTGTGTGCAAGTTAGCTAAATTCCTTTTTGGACAGGCGCTAAGTTACAAGTACACTGGCAAACAGACACAAGCTCCTAACAAAAGCCTGTTTGAGAGAGAAGATATTTACCAACGATCATTTATGAGATATATCATCAATCTACTTCTCTGAGTACTTTAAATCTAGGCTTGTTCCAAGTCTGATCACCAGCCCTTTTCAGAATCAACCATTCTGAATTATGTTTTGATATTCTGTTCTGACTTTTTTTCATTGTGGCACAGTATATGTAACATGTTCACTTTTTTTCTTTTTTGAGACAGGGTCTCTCTGTTGTCCTGGCAAGAGTGTAGTGGCATCATCATCGCTCACTGCAACCTCAAACTCCTTTGCTCAAGCAATCCTCCTGTCTCAGCCTCCCGAGTACCTGGGGTTATAGGTGCCCACCACCATGCAGGGTGAATTTTTCTGTTTTTTTGTAGAGGTTTTTTCTTTTTTTTTGCAAGAGGTTTTTCTCTTGCTCTTGTTTAGGTTGGTCTCAGGATTTAAGCAAGCCTACTGCCTCAGTCTCCCAAAGTGTTAGAATTATCGGTGTGAGCCACCACACCCAGCCATTCTATTGACCATGTTAACCATTCATATGTGTACACTTCATTAGCGTCAAATATATTCATAATGTTGTGTAATCACCACCACTATCTTTACACAACTTTTTTATCATCCTAAACTGAAACTCTACCCATTAAAACAATGACTTCCCCTTATCTCCTTTCCTCATCCTTGGTAACCTCTACTTGAATCTATGGCTATGAATTTGCCTATTCCAGCTACTTTATATATAATTGGAATCATATATTTGCCCTCCTATGTCTGGCTTATTTTACTAAATATAATTGTTCTCAAGGTCCTTCTATGTTGTAGCTTAGATGGAAATTTCATTCCTTTTTATGACTGAATAACATTCCATTGTATGCATGCCACATGTGGTCTATCTCTTCATTTGTTGACGGCCACTGGTCATTCCTACCACGTGGCTATTGGGAATAATGCTGCTATGAACAATGGCGTACAAATATCTGTACACCATTTAGTTAGTTCTATATTTAGCCTTTTGAGAAACTGCCAAAACTGCCCTTCCCTGGAAAATACTGTTTGTGGATATCATTGTCCTGTACAATGCCTCAGATGAGAAGCCCCTTTTTGAGAATCACATACTGGGAAAAGGTTTATATGTCCTCCTTTCTCATATCAAGATTTCTAGTGTAGGTCATGACTCTACCATGAAGCTTGCAACAAAATTTATGGATTGAATAGTCATTGTTGGCTGGCAAACAAAAATTAGCCAAGCATCATGGAGGGCACCTGTAGTCCCAGCTACTTGGGAGGCTGAGGGAAGAGGATCACTTGAGCCCAAGAGTTTGAGGTTAAAGGATTCCCAGGTTCCTGGGGATCCTTTTACCTCTTCTGGGCACACTGGCCTGATTTTGAATGGCCAGTAACTATATCATTATCAGAAGTTATCTTTGGGCTGTCTCCCCAAAAATGAGTCCAGAAGTACCCAGGGATTATGTCCCTGTTCTCCCTCCCTAGACAGCTTTAAACCAACTACTGACAGGTGTGGGTTTATAAATAACCCAGCTTCCTTGCCTGGAATAATTCTGAGGTCTGTACTGTTTCCAACTTTGGGATTAAGAACCAATTGTGCACGCTGGTGCCTTAACAGCATAACCTGAACTGACTTCCCTTCCTTGTAGCCCCCTGCATGTCCCAATGAACTGCTGACACTCATATTCTTGGCTCAAGTATGCTCCTGAGGGAACCCCAATCAAGACAGAGGTCCTCTCTAGCCATGTCAGAACTCCATTTGCTTTCCATATTTCTGTTCTTCTTCTCCCTGGTTCTGAAGTTTTATTTTTACCTTTTTTTCTTTTGAGACAGAATCTCACTCTGTAGCCCAGGCTAGAGTCCTGTGGTGTCATTATAGCTCACAGCAACCTCAAACTCTTGGGCTCAAGTGATCCTCTTCCCTCAGCCTCCCAAGTAGCTGGGACTACAGGTGCCCTCCATGATGCTTGGCTAATTTTTGTATTTTTAGTAGAGATAGGGTCTCTTGCTCAGGCTGGTCTCAAATTCCTGAGCTCAAGGGGTCCTCTTGCCTTAGCCTCCTAGAGTGCTAGTATTACAGGCATAAGCCACCGTGCTTGGACTATTTTTGCTTTATTAATCTTCTACTGTACGTTTCCTTGTAGTCTACTATATCAAAGTCTTGGCAGAATAAAGCATGGTGGATTCATCGTTTAGAAGAGTAAACCATCATATAATATTACAATATAAAATGCAAACTATAATGGTTTATAGAATATGATTCTAATTTTTAAAAGCACATGTGCACGTAGGTATATGCACAGGGGAAAAAAAAAGACTAGAAAGAAATGTACCACAATGTTAACAATGGTTAATTTGGGTGGTATTATGGCAGATGGCTTAATTTTTTTCTTTTTTATACTTTATTTTACAAAAACCATGAAGCTTTAGTTTCCTCATCTCTAAAATGGAGATAATCACACCTACCTCACGGAGTTGTGGCAGCCGAAATGAAGTGTGGATGCCATGTAGCATACACTCGCTGCATCACACATTCACATCACAATCCCTTCATACAGTGCATGTCTAATATGGATAATTAAGGGTAGCAAGTGCTGTACTTATAATAGCAATTAATGAAAACATTTTAAAAAGACATGAAGAAGTAAAAGTAAGCTCATGCTTATATAATGTAATTTAAACAGGCATTCACTTAAGTGAGCTCCTTGTCCCCCATAAGAACTCTGTTCAGAAGTGTGAGTGGGCAGTAGGCAGGTCTAATATTCACCAAACCACTAGAATGTGCCAGACACCAAGGTGGACACTGGGCAGACATCATAGCTCATCATAGCTCACTGCAACCTCAAAGTCCTGGGATCAAGCAATCCTCCTGCCTCAGCCTCCCAAGTAGCTGGGACTACAAATGTGCACCACCACATAGGCTAATTTTTAATTTTTTTTTTTGTAGAGGTGAGGATTTACAATGTGGTTCAGACTGGTTTCAAAACTCATAACCTCTAAAATCCTCCCACCTTGGTCTTCCAAAGTACTGAAATTATAGGCCTCACCTACCATGTCTGGTCATGAAGTGCTTTTTGATGGTGGTGGGAAGGATTCAGTCCTCTAATCTCCCACCAAAAGCATCCCAAATAATCATTCAATCAAAATAAACATTCTATACTAGCTAAGCAAATACAGCAGATTCCCAGTAAGTTTCAAAGTGATACCTCCTAATCCGGTTGCCCACCCCAAGTCTCCCCTATGGTGAAATTCTGGAATGGTCCTCTGAGACATGGGAGGTGATGGGACGAAGGATTTACAGAGACCACTAGGAGAGTCCAGCAGAGAAGGTGGAGTGGAGAAGAGAACTGTGGGGCGCTGTTCTCCTTCTCCACTGCCCTCTGGGCCCAGCATTCTGGTGTTATGAGAGTTTTTTGTGCCAGATACTCAGTATTGTGTCAACAAGGCCCTCTGAGGGTCAGGGCCACCTAGGAAGGTCTGGGGTTATGAACTGGGCAGTGTGGCACAAGCACTCCAGATGTAGCCTGTGTGCTGCTTAAGCATGCTGGTCTGCTGTGCCTGGCCCTGATCTGCTGTGTGCTGTGTGCTCCTTCTCCCAGCAAAACGTCTATGTGACACAACCACACGCGGAGCCCCACTTTGTTTGTCACCCTGCCTCACTGCCGAGTGCTCTAGGAGGCACAGAGGACACAACTGCGGAGCACCCAGCGCTGGCACACTGTGCCGTTTGGCCCTGAGAGCTTTTTTCTGCTGCTCCTGGAGCTCTGGCAGTTTGGATGACACTTCCTCCCTGCCTAGCTTTTGAAAGCCTCTTCTCCCGCTCCAGCTGTCCTTCTGTTTCCCTCAGAATTTCTCCAGTATCTTTCCCAACCCCCTTATCACTTATTATGCTTCAAGGGTTAACAGTCTTTAGGGGTGTGGTGCAAAAAGCCCCAGTCTTTTTCTGTGTCACACCATTGCTCAAAAACTCTCAATGACTGACTCTCAATTGCCTCTAGATAAATTCCAGCTCCTTAGCCTGGCTGTAAAGGTCTACCTCTATTCCATTAGCCTGCAAACCTTTGTAACTTGCCTACCACTTAACTTCAACCAGCTCCTGCCCCCCCACCCATGCCACTCTGTCCTATTCCACAGTGCAAGGCACTTTTAATCCCCAAACCCAATCAACGTGCCTAACACTAACTGGTTCAGCCCAAAGATCACGGCTTCCCTGATACTTCACGGTTTGCACCCTCAGTAGTACTTTTGCCTCCTCACTTCCAATCTGGGATTCTATCTGATTTTTTCTAAGCATGAAGTCAAGGGCAACATATTTAGCTTTGCACTTGGCCTCTGACCATGGCTTGTGCATAGTACTAACTCGGTGAATGTTTGTAGATAGGTTCCTGTCCCGTTTGTTCCCCCAAAGTTCCATGCACTCAAGCCCTCTCTCCTTAATTATACTGAACATCTAGAGCACAGCGGTTCCAATTTAAGGACCATTCAAATGCCCCAGGGACGTTACCGTGTAGATTCCAGCTCAGGAGGTCTGGGGAGGGACTGAGATTGCATTTCTAACAAGCTCCCAGTAAGGCTGACAGTTCGGTCCGTGAACCACATTTAGAGTAGCGGGGAGGCAACACCACCTGTTGATCAGGCACGGCTTACACCGATGGAGCCTGGCTGGACGCCGAGCTGGGAGAATGGAAGGCAGAGGGTCGGTCCTGACCGACCGGGCATCTGCCCGGGGCAGTGGAGTCTCTGGGAGGTTGCCAGTGAGTCCGGCCCGCACACTTACCTATGGTGGACACAACGGTACCCACGAAGTAGAAGGCGCCAGTGAAGTCCCAGCGCGGGCGGACGTTGTCCACTCGGATGCCGGCCCTGCTGGCCTCCTCATAGTGGCGGAGGAAGCCGCGCAGCTCGTCGCGGCTCAGATTGTGGCCGCGGCTGAAGTTGGCCAGGCGCTCCTCCCAGCGCTGCCTGGCCTGTCGCTCGTGCGCCAGCTCCAGCGCCGAGAAGACGGCGGCGCCGCCCAGCAGGTAGAGCACGATGAGCGCGGCTAGCAGCAGGAAGCGCGCGTTGTCCTCGTTCAGGTGGCCCAGGCCCCAGCTGCAACTCCGCCCGGCCATGGCCCGGCCCCCGAGGGCAGCCCCGCGCCCCGCTGCCGCAGGCGCCGGCTGACTCTCGCTCACGTCCCCGCGGAGGTCGCGGCTCTGCCCGGCGCTCAGCCGGCTCCCGGACACCCCGCAGCCTGCTCGCCCATGGCCGCCGGGCGCTCCCGCGGAGCCAGCTCTCCACGTCCGCCTCGACTCCTGGTTTCAAATCCGCTTTGTAGCCGCCGCTCCCCTCCACATCCCCCGCCCTCCTTGGAGTTCTCCTAAATGTTGAAGGTTCAGAGTGACCGGGCGCACAGTTCACTTCTGCTTGGGGGATGCGGGCACTCAGGTTTCCACCCCTTGCCCTGCCATTCTCAGATTGGGGAGGGGGCGTGACGCATCTTCGGGACAAACTCGAATGGATTAGAATTGGTCGGGGAGCCCCGGAGACCAGCAGGTAAGCGGATTCTCGGGGGTCTCGGCCCTGTTAGCCATCGACGGCTTGAGCCATCGCTTCTCAAGCCGTCGAAGGCTGGGATGCGGATGACAGTCAGCGGGCTTGGGAGGTGCTTTCCCAGACAGATCCACAGTGGTGTGTCCTAGTTGCGCTGTCGCGTTCAGCCTGTGGCCTCCTGAGTCACCCACGGGGCTGAGAGGCTGGAGCGGGTCCAGAGCGGGCGCAGGGAGGAGGGGCTGTGCAGGGCAGCGTCCGCCGACTCCCACCTCCTGCCCGGCCCCCACGCTGCGCGGCATCCGGCGGGCGGACCAGCTGGAGAGAGGAGACCAGAAAGCGCGGTAGGAACGGGAGAGTGAGGAAGTTAGGAGCGCCTCCCCCGGGCGGCCTCCCTCGCCTTGCCCACGCCAGCGCGCCCTTGCCCTCCGGGTCCTGCGCTAAGGCATCCTCTGCACTCACGTGTCGCCCGGCCCAGACCCAGCGCGCGAGGCGAGCCAGCCCCCCTTCCGGAGAGGAGGCGAGGACCGGGGTTGGAAGGGCCCCGCGGCCAGACTGTGACCCTGGGGGGTTCCATTTCTTCCACCCCTGCGTGGCTGCCTTGGTGCCCTCTGAAGTTTTGCGAGGACACTGGCTCCACGAATAATACTCCCCCCAACATTGAGCAGACCAGAGGCAAGGCTCTTTAGCAAACCGCCGGGGTCCCCCTCCCCAAGTCCTCTCTTGTAGGGGGCCTGGCGCCGCGGCCGTACTCCGGTCTCACCTTCCAGGAGCGCCTTCTCTGCGCGGTTCCGCAGAGACTGTCCCCAGGCCTCCCTCTAGACGTGCTTCGTTCTGCCGAGCGGCGTGGGAACCAGAGGTCCGCCCTGAGCTCTGCCTTCTCTGGCGGGCGCGCTCAGCCGCTGCAACAGGTGGAGCCGCGAGGCTGCCAGAGACCGCGACTCCACCCCGTCGCCCACCTCCTGGCCGCGCGGGGCCGCCTCCTGCGCTAGTCTCCGCTGCAGACGCCGGGCGCGGCTGGCCAACCGGGGGGCTCTGGCGCTTCCACTCTAGACCTGCAGATCTGGGGAGTGGGTGCCGGAGAGGCGGGTAGGATGCTTAGCTGGCCTGCGTGGGCCCCTGCGGGGCCGGGAGAGGGCGCTAGGTCCCCTGCAGACACATCTCGCCCCCACCGTGTGCACAGCCACACACTGCCCCTCCGGAATCACCCGCCCAGGGCAAGTGACAGTGAACATGGACGCGTAAAGGAATGGATACGTGGACGTCTTAGAACCAAGTAGAATCTCCCCGCCTTTCTAGAGAGCGGTCCCAGGCTCGGAGCCCCACCCATGCACCTGTTCTCATCAGGAGCCGAGCAGAGATGGAAGCCCTGTTTAGTAAAACCAGGATTTCAAATAAACGGCTGACACGTGTATTTCATCGGAAGCCCTGATGCCATTATTCATTCTCCAAAGCCCTCCTTTTATCTACCCTCTCTCTACCTAGTGAGAATAGCGGCAAGTGTTTACAAACCAGGAGTACCACAATTCTTTTTTTCCATTTCATTATGTAAAATTTCAAACATACCAAAGTTGAAGAATTGTACAGTGAACACTCACATACCCACCACCTAAATTCCATAATTAACATTTTACTATGCTGGCTTTATTATATAATATATGTATATATCCGTCCTTTCTATCCATCAACACATCTTGTTTGAATGCATTTCTGAGTAAGGTGTAGCCCTCAGCACATGTCCGCCCTCATCCCCAGCACTCAGCCTGTATGTATCATTACTTAGAGTTCGATATTTACTTACATATTCTTTTGGGGTAAATTTTACAATGAAATGTGCAAATCTTACATGCCTCTGAGTTCTGACAAATGCATACACCTCTAAAAAATACCTACTCATCTAACCCACCAACCAAACATCACCAACAGGTCAGAGATTCCTTTAGGTCTCTTCCCAGTAAATCCCCACCCACATTCCTCTGGTCCAGAGGAAACCACTATTCTGAATTTGTCTGCCACTCATTACCTTTGCCTTCATAGTACGTGGTTTCTCTGTTCTAGATCTCCATATAAATGGGATCATACAGTTATGCATTCTTCTGTGTAAGGCATTATGTGTTTGAGATTTACCTGTGTTATAGGTCTTAGTAATCTTTCCCCTTTTTTGCTGGTTTTTCAATGGTTGTATACACTGGACTTTATTCATTCTCCTACTGACAGAAAGCAGGATTTTAGAATATTTTGGTTATCATGAATAAAACTATTAAGAACATTCTTGTATAAATGTATAAGAGATAGATTTTCATATCTCTTGGGTACAAACTTAGAAATGGAATTGCTGGGTCATAGGATATGTGCCTGACATTTTCTGAAGTAGCTGTAGTTCTGAATACTCCAGAATGTTCTTGTCAACATTTGGCAGTATCTACCATTTTAATTTAAATATGCTGCTGGATGCACAGGGATTTACATGTATAAAAACTCATTGTAGTTTTAATCTGCACTTCCCTGGTGTCTAACAAAGCATTAATATACTGGCCATTTGTTTACTTTCCTGTGTAAATTGTCACTGAAATACTTTGCCCACTAAAATAATTTCTCTATTATTGAATTATAGTGATCCTTTATATATGCAGGTCACCAGTCCTTTCTCAGATACATTATCTTGCAAAAATTCTTTACCTCACTTTGCCTATTTTCTTAACAAGTACTTTGTTTTCTGACAGATGTATACATTTTTCATTTTGGTGAAACTGAATATACGTTTGGTACCCTTTGTATATTAAGAAATCATTCCCTCTCTCAAGATTGTATAGGTTTCCCATCTCCCCACCCCACCCCCATTCCAAGAAGTTCTTTAGTTTTAGCTTATATATTTGGGCCTATGATGCATTTTGAGTTTGTTTCCATATGTGTTTAGGCTCACTGTGTCCATGTTATTCAGTTATTCTGCCAATTGTTTAAGATATAAATATGAATGAATTAAGATATCCAGTTATTCTTCTGCCAATAGTTTAAGAGATAAATGTGAATGAATTTTTTATTTCAGGGATCTGTATTTAGTTCATTTTTTGTCTACCATTATGCTAATACTGCAATATTTAGGTTACTTATAGCTCTACTGTACGTCTTAAAGTCAGGACATGTGAACCCTTTAACTTTGCTCTTCCTTTTTGAGATTTCTTTGCATATTATAAAACATGAAAAAAATTATACAACTTGGCTCAGTGCCTAGGGCGCTGGCCACATACACCAGAGCTGGCAGGTTTGAACCCAGCCCGGGGCCTGCCAAACAACGACAACAATAACCAAAAAATAGCCGGGTGTTGTGGTGGGAACCTGTAGTCCCAGCTACTTGGGAGGCTGAGGTAAAAGAATTGCTTAAGCCCAAGAGTTGGAGGTTGCTGTGAGCTGTGATGCCACAGCGCTCGAACCAAGGGCGACACAGTGAGACTCTGTCTCACAAAATAAATAAATAAATAAAATGAAAAAATTATACAACCAGCTTAATCAGAAAAGGCCCCTGGGATCAGGATCTCAAGTGGGACTGTGTTGACTCTATTTTGGGGAGCACAGATCCTGACAAGCATGACGATCTTGACCTTTCTTGAATGAGGTATATCCCTACATTTATTTCAGTCTTCTCACCAAGTTTTCAATTCATTCTAATGTATTTTACGTTCTTTTGATGTTATTGTAAATGGAATTTCAAAGTTTTGTTTGCTGTAGTATATAAAAATACATATGATTTTTGCAAATTCACTTGTATCTTGTAACCTTGGTCAATTTACTTATTAGTCATAGTACTTGTTTGGTTGGTTCCTTTAGGAGTTTCTATGCAAGTAACTGCATTATCTCAAAGAGTTTGTTGCTTCTTCCCAATCTCTATCTTGGCTCTCCCTTTTACCTCACTGCAATGGCTAGGACCTCAGTGCATTACTGAGCAGAAGAGGTGGACGTGCAGATGCCCTTGTCTTGTTCATGACCTTTGGGGCAATCCTTTATCATTATTTACTATGTACATATGACATTAGCTATTGGTTTCTCATAGCTGCCCCTCATCAGGCTGAAGAAGTTTTTCTTTTCTTTTCTTTTCTTTTTTTTTTGAGGCAGAGCTTCACTGTTGTACAGGCTGCAGTGTAGCTGTGTCATCATAGCTCACGGCAATATTCAAACTCCTGAGCTCCAGTGATGGATCCTGCTGTCTCAGACTCCTGAATAGCTAAGACTACAGGTGTGCACCACTACACCCAGCTAATTTTTCTATTTTTTCTGAAAACAAGGTCTCACTCTTGCTCAGACCAGTCTTGAATTAGTTAAGTGATCCTCCAACCTTGGCCTCCGAGAGTGCTAGGATTATTGGTGTGAGCCACCGCATCAGCCTATTTCTGGATTTTCTTTTTTAAATGAAGCATGAATGAGTACTTGACAAAATTTGGATTTAGTCAGATGCTTTCTCTGCAGGTATTGCAATGACCAGATAGTTTTTTCATTTTTTCTGTTAACATGTTGAATTTCATTAGTTGCTTTTCTAATGTTAAGCCAATCTTGCATTTATGGGATAAATTGCACTTGGGGGTTCTAC